TTCAGTCCTGACTGAGGTGTGAACATATTTTCCTTCAATGAACAAAATAAACTATACTTTGTGTTTAACTTCAGCCTCTATTGAAGCATTAGAAGAAAAAATAAATAAATAAATCAGACCAGCACAAACAAAGCTGTGTTTCCTTTAATAACATTCATTCAGTGTTGACATTTTCCACAGTCTGAACAAGAATCTTTGCACATTTGAACCTTTCTCATTTCCACAGTTAAATGAGACTTGTTTATTGTTAAAAATCACTTGTACTTTCAGATTACAGATGGGAATATATACATATTTATGATTGCTAATTTCATGTTTAATTGCATGAACAGCATCAGTTTTACTGCTGTTGGCACATTTTCCTAGTCTGACCCTTTGAACCATCTGTAGTTCCAGCTCAAAAGCCAACTGCTAGTGTTGTTGCTATGATTCCACAACTGTAGCCCAGTCCTTCAAATAAAATCAGTAATATCAGTAACGTTAGCCTCGGAGAACGCCTTTAGCAGACCACATTGGACAGTGCTTGCATGAAAGAGAGCAAAACCAGAGAGCTACAGTTACAGAGGAGTTCGTACCACTGAATGTATATATGAAATATCTGATATTTACAGTCAGTAGTTGGAACATGCAGCCACTGTTACTTTCACTGGACATTAATAATGAAGATTGGAAACTGTGGTCATGTTCAGAGTGAAAGAGACTTTTCAGCTGTTTTATATTCTCTGCAGGGGCTTGAGGTCTGAAACACTGCAGTTCCCAAACCAGACAAAAAACAGCTGCTCAGAAGACTCTCAATGACTCTCCTGTAGAGCTCGACGTGACACAGAAGTGTTTTCACCTGACTGTTTCCACAGAGGAGTCATTGATGTGCAATTGGGAGTGATCACCACAGGCCTTCCTGACCTCAGGATCTCTGTGTCTGATTTTTGTTAAACATCAAGTTGCGTTTAATGAACATCATCACTTTGGTTTTATCTGTCCAAACAACATCGCTCCAGAAATCTTCTGGTTTGTTCAGATGCACATTTGCAAAATTAAGCCGAGCTACCATGTTGGGAAAGAGGCTTCTCTTTCTCCTGAATACCCTTCCACGAAAGCTTATTTGTATAGTCTTTTTATTGATCTTTTTATTGCTATCTTTAATAATAAACCGAGGTCTGAAGATCCCGACATGCAGTTCTGGAGTTCTGTCCATTTGTGCATCATAAATTTGTAATAATCCTGTTCACTGTAGAATCACAGACTACAAAATGTTTTGAAATGGCTTTATAAACTCTTCCCAGATTGATGAGCAGCAATTCCTCTGCTTCAATCTGTTCATTCAATGTCTTTACTCCATGGCAAGGATTTTCTAGAATTACACATTTCACCTCAGACCACTGTGAATGACGTTTTTAACATCTTATTTCCCTTTAAATCTGTGTCTACGTTAGACCTGTTTTCCCCCAGCACAGCTGTAAAAACAGACTAATTTATTTGTCATTCTGTATACCTGCTCTTGTTGTTTGATGCAACTGACATTAATACAGTACTGTAAGAACATCAGTGTTGTAACTTCATGCAGGAACATTCAGGATCTGATTCAGGATCTGATTCACTGATTCAGATTTTAATATGTACATCATGACTTTCAACAGCTACAAAGCCTGCTGTTCTAGGGAGCTCCATCACTCCTCTGACCCAAACAGCAGCGTGTAAGACAGTAGCAGAGCTTTTAAACAGAGAGAATCTGACCACAGTGGACTTTCTGTTCCAGGATGATCAGAGGCTGCAGCTGCAGTGCAGGAACAACCATCATGTGATCAAGTCACAAAGATATTAAAATTTAACTGTGTTATTAATATTATCATATAATAACCAAATTGCTCATATAAAGTAAAGGAAAGTCTCACATCAAACCACTTCACTCTTCACCATCAACACATTCTTATGTTCTGCTGCATACTGTACTACAGTATATACAGTTAATAATTAGTCGCTCTGTATTTTATTATATCAAACAGTGACAGCAACATGCGTTAAAACAGTGAGGCAGTTCACACATCATGTTAACCATCAGGACTCACCCTGTGTGCAGAGTGACTCTGAGGAGATTTCAGCCATGATTTAGTCAGTGATCCAGTTCAGAAAACCATTGTTCAGATCCTGCATTTATGTCCAATTAAATCACCATTTAAACCCCCAAACTAAAACTTTCCAACATGTCTCAAACAGTCCTCTGATTGACTCTGATAATCAGAAATGTACAGCTAAATACATGACTTGAAATGCAGTCAATCTTTTAAAACTGAGGCGAAATAGATGCGAAAAATGTGACAAATGCAGTGTCCCAATTCACTACACTGAGTGCACTTTCCCTCTTTCCCTCAAAATCACACAAACAGGCCCTAAAACACATTTTACCAGATAAATAACAATTAGTATGACAAATATTATTTAAAAATTAATAATATCTAGATCTTCCAGTTTACATCGATATTGAGAATTAAAATATCTGATATTGAATATGCATACTAATTTGTAATTAAAATAAAGCTTGTCTAGCTGTGTATCAGAGTTTTAGCACTCAGCATGGATCCACGAGGACAGAAAATCAATAAAAAACATGGCCACCTTATACTTATTGTTTATTTTTACTCATAGTAACCAAGAGGATGAATCACCATTAAATTCTTGCACTTTCAGCTCACAGACACTCCAGACTAACAATTTCTGGAAAGGTATCTGAGGTGCAACTTTTCAAGATCTCTATAAGGAAAAAGTACAAAACTCATGCAGGCGCTAGGTACATTTTTCATCAAAAATGGTTTAAAATCATAAAGATATCAAATTTCTGTGAGCATTTATATGTTAAACAATGGCATATCTGAGTAGCCCAGGGTCTCCTGAAAACAACATATGGCTTTATACATTAAACATAAGTGTAATATAGAATTTAATTCCTAAAGATCTTTGTCTGACTCTTGTACATTACGGTAAAGTATGGTGACTCTGAGCTCTAGTAGCCTACTAATTTGCATATCCCATGAACCCTTGCAGATGCTAGTGTTTTCATGTTTTATCTTGCTGTATTTGGTGATCAGCTGGTGATTAGTATACACTGTCAGTTTGTATGTGCGGGAAAAAGACTAGCCCACAAGTTTGTCTGATATTGTTTACGTTACCATTCATGTGAAGCCTGTGTGATTCAGTTACCCCATGCTGGTTTAGACGGTTGATTAGTTCATGTATTAATAATCTGATTTATAATAATAGTACACAATTAGGAACCAGTAAGAGAGCCTTCTTGTTTTTCAAGCAGTGATGTAACTGTATAAGAGAAGTACAACGATGAAATATCGTCCCAAATCTTCTGAAAGCTGAACTGCTAAAGATTCATTACCAACAAACTGACTTTTTTCACAACTCAACAACTGGAACATTTTATTTATTATATTGTTTTACGTGTTTGAGTAATCACAAGATATTAAACAGGAAGAAAACACACTGTATCAATGCATTTGCTGATTAATAATTACAGTTTCTACACTTTTCTAAAACTTTGACAATAAAATATATCCACTCTGTTATGGACATGCACAAAACTACACTGGTTGGCCACTTCATTACGTCCTCCCCCACAGGACCACCACAGAGCAGGTATAATTTGGGTGGTGGATCATTTTCAGCACTGCAGTGACCCTGACATAGTGGTGTGTTAGTGTGCGTTGTGCTGGTATGAGTGGATCAGACACAGCAGTGCTGCTGGAGTTTTAAAACACTGTGCCCACTCACTGTCCACTCTATCAGACATTCCTACCTTGTCAGTCCACCTTGTAGATGTACAATCAGAGATAGTAGCTCATCTGCTGCTGTACAGTTTGTGTTGGTCATCCTCTAGTCCTTCATCAGTGGTCACAGTATGCTGCCCAAAGGCTGGATGTTTTTGGTTGGTGAGATAGACTTTTTCCACTTTTTTCATTTCCCAGAGAACACAACATCCTTTATTTCCATAAACAATTTTAAAGATGGACTGGTCAGACCACAGCACACATTTCCACTGTGCAGCAGTCCAATTCCTTTAGCCCAGAGATGCCAGTTTATCAGGATGTTGTTGATATATGACTCCCTGTGTGCATAGTGGATTTTTTTTCTTTTTTTACTGTTACTTTTATTTTTTATTTTTTTTACTGTCCCAAAAGTTCGGAACTGGGTTTGTTGAAATCAAGACTAAAGTAGACTTCATGTTTGTATAAGCAGGGTGCCATGTCACGCCATCCGCTTCACCTCTCTCCAGTTTCCTGGAACAATGACAGCAGCCTGTATAACAAGTCCTCACAGCTACCTGAACAGACCTTCAGCACAGCTGCTTTTTTCTATGAAATTAGCTCCACAGAAAATGTTTGTTTATGCTCACAGACAGTCTTCAAATCATGAAAAAGAATCACAAATTCACTCTAAACTCTAAAAGGGAAAACAATCCCTGAAATTTACATGCTCATTATTTCCCACTGGTGTGAAAGAGACTCTGAGTTTTGTTGTCTGTATAAAGTTGCCATGAGCCACGACTTGTATTAATTACAGAAATGTATTACATAAAGAAAAAAAGCTGTAACTTTTCCATATTTCACACTAAAGAAATTCAATAGAGAAACAACTTAATAAGAAACACATAATGAAATGTCTATGACTAAAACACAAACATATTCTTCTTCTTCTTATATTATCATTATTAATAATAATAATAATAATAATTGTTGTTATTATTATTATTATTATTATTATTATTATTACTATTATTATTATTATTATTATTGTTGTTTAAAGACATGCAGTCAGGTCAGTTGGACACAATAAATTGCCCCTAGGTGTGCGTGAGTGTGTATGTGTGTGAGTGTGTGTGTTTTGATAAATAATATTTTGGGAGGGTTTGAAGAAGTTGTTTTGGAAACTCTTAAACCAGGTAAGTCAGTCTGAAGATCAAACATAGCAACTGTAAAGAACTTTAAGTGAAAGTAGTTCAGCATTTCACTCTGGATGATACAGTGTGGACATATTACACCTACAGCAGCGATGTGACTATATGAAGAACAGCAAAGGTAAGAGCAGTTAGCATCATGCTAAAGCTTACTCTAAACATTGAACCTGTGCAGAAAACTAAAAACTTCATCTTAATGTACTATAAAATTGATTTAGTTACGGATTTTAAATGGTTTTTCTTTTTCTCTTTTGTGTATGCATCTGTATAAGGAGATCTTAAACTTCCAGAGTCCCATTATAACTTTACTTTGTTGTTTTAGTGTGTAATTGTTTTTACCATGTTGTATCAGAGACAGTTCATTTTTCATCAGACAAATGAGATAAGAATTTCATTAAAATAAAATAAAAATATTTAAAATAAATTATTGCCCCCCCAGCACTGGTACTCTTCTCCTGTTCTGTTTAACAGGACTGGAGAATGCAGAGCAAGCAATTAAAATCATCCCTTAATACAGAATTGTAGCACAGCCTGTTCTACCCTGGGCTCAGGAAAGACGCTGGACATGGGGTTGAAGGTCGTAGCAGCCATTTACTCCAAACAAACACAAAACAACTCAGAACCAAAGCTGACCACATTTGAGTGACTTCAAAGCTAGACTTTTCAGTCCTTTTCAGCTCTTCAGTCTGCTGCTGCTGCTCGTCCCCCTCTCTCTCTCTCTGTTCCCTCTCCACTCTTTTTAAAAGGCTCCTGAACCGAGAAGGACAGAGCTTGTTGCTCTGCCTCCCTGTCACAGCCCCTGCTTCACAGCTAGTCGAATGTAAGGTGTAGTCTAGCAGCCCAACTGCGAAACAGGAGGCATGACCTGGATCCTGCCTTCGTGCCTCTCATGGCTGTTGTCGCCTTTCCCCGTTTTCAGGCTGACTTCCTCCTCCCGCTGTCACTCATGACTCTTGGTGGTGTTTAGGATTCAGGCCCTACCTTCCTGCCAGCTCTCGTGGCTCTCTTCGGGGCCTGGGTGGCGAGTGCGTTGCACAAGAATCTTTCCAGATCTTCCTGGGTCCTAGCTCTTGGTCAGGGATGGTGGAGTAGCTAAGTAGCACGCTACAGTTGTATGAAATGTAGCTAATAGCTGTAGCGCTTACAAATTTTTGTGTAGCTATGTATACAATTTTACTACAGGCTTCAGGCGATCCGCACAAAATCTGAACCATAGAATGTGGTCGTTAACTGGGCTGGTGGCGACTATGCAATCCTGACTGAGCCGCAGACAGTTCGAGCAAATGGGCACGCGCTGATCACCACTTACTAGTAGGTTTAGCTCAGGCTTAGCATTAAAATGTTAAGAAGAGCCATTTTGTCCTTTTAATGAAAATGAAACCACCTTGGGAGCCACAACATTTTATTTACTATGTTGGTTGTAAACATGTCTCAGTATGTGCTGATAATACAGGCTAAAAATTCAATAAACAAAAACACAGACTTACTTTGCTCTGCTTTAAGCTATAGCCGCTTTTCTCACATCTCAGGAAACTTCTCAGTGAGTTTCTTGTAAAATGTCTCTCAATGTTGGACTTTTTACAAAGCTGAAGTCGCTTCCCATTCTCCTGCTTCTCATTCAAATTGTCCTGTTCCATCTTAAATGATTGTACTGCTGCGCCATTTAAGGAGGAGCGGGAAAATTCGAACGAGAAGCTGGTGAATGAAAAGCTGAACTTCAGCCTCACGAGTTGTTGCAGATTAGAATGATTATAAATGCAAATAAGCCCATTTATCTACAAATTATCGATGTTTGTGTTAAATCTCTCTGTGTGCCTTTTCGTGGTCTGTGTTGCTGTGTGTCCAGCTGTCTGCGCGTCAGTCTTCAGCATTAAAGGTTGGTGAATTAGCAGTTATGCGTTAACTCCAGCGTTTAAGAGCATTTATTGTGAAACCTGTGGTAGAACTGTGTGTTATAATGAGTTTACAGTAAAGGAGGATTATTATGTTATTTTACCTAAAAATCTACAATGCATTGCACAAAGTTGTTCGGTTTGTATTTGGATGTTTTTGTTGACTTTTGTAAGGAAAAACCTGAATAGTTGACTTTGCCTTTACTTAGTCTACATTTTTGTTGGATATCCACCTTTGGGGAGGACAAATAGTTTGACATTATAATTAAACTTGACTGGACACAGGCCTTGAGGATAAGGACAGAACAACTTCATTTTCAGCCATGACTAAAATATATTGTAAAATTGTGCTTGTGACTTTGGCTTTAAAGAACCACTGGATGGTTTTGTGATGAACATGTTGTGAAGAATTTACACGCTGAGTTGGAAGTTGAGTGAACACAGCACGCTGTCCGAGTATCTGACCAAATCAGACATTCAGCTTCAGTTTCTCCACAATCTGAAATCTGAAGAAGCCCCAAGATGGTAAAAAATGGCTGTAACAGTCAGTAAAATCTTTACCGTTCTGAGGATGGACAGTCTGTTTGATCATCAGCCAGTCTGTGTGTTTGTACGTAGAAAAATCATTTTATATTTTTCATTTTGTATTTTAGAAGAAAAATTCTGTATCCTTTTTCATTTTAAATTTTAACAAACATCCTAAGCTTTTTTTCTTTTTATATTACACATCTTTAGTAAAAAAAAAAGTTGTAACAACAAAAAAATTATCTTTTTTATTTTATATTATAGAATGTTTGTACTGTAATTAGTCTGAAAATAATTTACTAAACCAATGCTTTATGTAATAATTAGATTAATTACATTTGATACTAAGAGCCAAATAAATTGTCAAATATGTAAAACTTTGAAGAAAAAATAAAGGACAAGGTTGCAAAAACTTCACAGGTCAGATGTCTCAGGCAGCCTGAGCAGTAAGCGAGTCTTTATCCAAAGTGTGGCAGAAGCCGAGGTGGTAAAAATGCAAATGAAATTGAAAAGTTTCTGCAAACTTCAGACACTTCTACTCTGCACCAACCCAGAAAATCACAGTTTAGAAGAGTTTTGTTGTTGTGCTGGAAAAAGAGCGCAGTGGAAGATAGACATGGTGGATTTAATCAATCTGTGAAAATACAGCGATGGAAATAAATGAATCTAACTTGTATAGACGTGTTTTCAAATTTCTCATGAGTAAAAGTGTTGCAGAATAAGAATGTCTGGAGTCTGACCAAAGCCTCTGAGGAAAAACTTTTACAAGACAGGACGTCTGTCATATTGCAAACTGATAAAGAGAAAAAGCTTTTTAATGAAATCTTTAAAAACTTCTAACCAACTTGCTAACATTTTACTGGTTAGCAAGTTGAAGGTGTTGGTCATGGAGAGATTTAAGATATTTTATAGCTTTTAACACTTAGAGTTTTTAAATGTTATTTTAGATCTGGTCAGAACTTACAATCCCACTTTTCACACATCTATTCAGAGAATCCTGAGGAGGAAAACAACCAAATTCAAGTGTCTCATCCTTTTTAGGGTAAAAGGATCCAGTAAACCGAACGTAAACAATGTGGTTTGAATTTCCAAAAAACAAAGAGCCTTTATGAAAAGTTATGAACGATCTTACACAGACAAACAGAACTGCAGTGAATGTGGAGCAGCACGTTAGAAATGGAGGTTCTGTGAGCAGCTCCAGTCGCTGCTGCACTACATGGAGCATGTAGAGCTTCATGCAGCCTCTGGCTGGAAACAGCGGCTGATGCCTGAGCTTGTTCAGTTTGATCAAAGTGCAGTCTGGAAAGCAGCTGAGTGAGATAATCAGATATCAGCTGTTCAGAGAGAATCACACAGAGAAGAGGAGAGAGAGCCTGGAGTGACAGAGAGGAGAGCAGGAGTGCTGAATAATTATTAAAGATGATTTATAAACTACACTGTAGATAAAATGTACATGAAACTGTTGATTTGTAATTTTTTTAAACTTTTTAGTGATAATTTAGAGAGTGAAGCCACTGCAACTGCTCCTGAGTAGCCAGACAGTTGTCCAGAACCTTGTTATGGCCTCTCCAAACTTTTTCCTATGTTTTGGATTTTGTTTGAGCCACCACTGCTGCTGCTGCTTTTTGTGTCTGTCAGTACTTATCTGCTGAGTCAGGAGTCCTCTGGGCCAACCAGTCCCTCAAGGCTTCTTCATCTTGACAGCCTCCCTCAACACTGGTGTCCACCAGGGGTCTCATGGGTTGCCATCCTGACAAGCACCAACAAGCTTTTGGCCACAGCCACGCCTGGCAGCTTTCACAATGTAGGTTTTGAACAGGGTCCATACAGACTCCATGTCCCCTAACATGAGAAGTTCTCCTGGAGGTAGGAGTTGAAATCGTTCTAGACAGGGGCCTCTGCCAGTCGTTCCCCCCACACCCTCACTATTCCCTTGGGCCTACCAGGTCTGAGCACTAGTCTTCCCTGCCATCTGATCCAACTCATTACCAGATGGTGATCTGTTGACACCTCAGCACCTCTTTTCACCTGAGTCTCCAGAACATATGGTCCCAATTCAGAAGAAATGAAAACAAAGTTGATCACTGACCTTTGACCCAGGAAGCTCTGGTACCAAGTACACTTATGAATGTCCTTGTGTTCAAACTTGGTGTTCATTATGGACAATCCATGACTAACACAGGGGTACCAGGCCAAATACTCTGAACTGCTGTTTGGGGCATAAGCATATACAACAGTCAGAGTTTTCCACCCTGTGATTTTAATTCACATTGAGGTGACCCTCTCATCCACCAGGACAAACTCCAACTGTACGGCAGCCAGCCGGGGGCTTGTGAGTATCCCCACACCTGCCTGCACCTCTCATCCTGTGCAACTCCTGAGTACGAGAGGGACCAACCCCCTATCAAGGAGTTTGGTTCCAGAGCCGACAATGTGAGTGGAAGTGAGCCCAAGTATATATATTTAGAACCTCTCTACCTCCCGCACAATCTCCGGCTCCTTCCTCCGAGCGAGGTTACACTCCATGTGCCAAGAGCCAGTTTCTGGCAGGGCTCCAGGCTGCCAAGGACCTCCCCGCCATCTACTACTGCCTATACAGCACTGCATCGTTGAAATGAAATAAGTCACTGTAACATTAACGACTCACACAATAATTACACAATTATACTATTTCCACTCAGTCTAAACATAAACATCACCTTTGGGCTCATAAATGATTTCTGTGAATTCAAGTTTGAAAATAATAATGAAACACTACAAATAAAATCACCAAAAATGACTAAAATTGAATCATAGTGGTGGAGTGTTAAATTAAACATTGTAAATCTCCATCCTAATCATGATGTGTTTATTCATATTTCAGTTACAAAACTCATAAAAATTCCCTTGGTCTATAGGAGCGACAGCAAATCGTACTGTGTGTGCTGATTTTTTTCATTATTCTGGTTACGCTGGATCTCCTTATATCTGCAGACAGGGATGGGATGTAGTGGAAAACTATACAGAATACAGAAATTAAGTATCTGTATTCAGTCTATGTTACATTTTGAGAAGAATTCAGAATACAGTTACTTTTTATAATTTTAGGAGAATAGTTTTAGAATACTTAGCAAGTAAAATAAAAACAATAAATCCTTAAACTATAAATGCTTGTTTATTAACTATATTAAAATCAGTGCATGGTGTATAGCAGACATGCTTCTTAGACAGTGGCACGAATGTCACTAGCGAGGCAACGGACTTGATCTCCCAGAATCCTCTGGGAGATCATGTGACTTTATCACTTCCTACAAACCCTGATACACACATGGACTTCATCTCCCAGAATACAATGGGAGATCAGCTGGTTGATGGTCTCCACACACGCTCCTATCAGCATTCAAGATCGCCTTCAAGTTCAAGTTTTAATGTGCTGCACGCACCTGTATCTATGATCACATGACCCCATCAGTTTAGCTTTTAAGCCCAGGCTTTAGCAGTAGTTGGTTGCGAGGTATTGTTTCATCTGCAAACTACTGAGCGTTCTTTCTATTATGTTACCGTGTATGACTTGCATTCTCGTTTATCTGACTCAGATTTTTGATTTGCCCATTGGATTGTTTGCCCTGGATCTCTGTTTTTGGTGTTTTGACCTTTTGCCTGTTGTTGACAACAATTTTGGATTTTGACTTCATCATTAAAGCCTGCTTGTCTTCGTTCATCCGCGAGCGTCTCTATTCTGTGATAATCAATACAGACAGACTCTAAAGAGAATCTCAGCTAACGGCTTCTTTGCAAACACTGAAGTTCTAAGCTAAGTTGTACTGGACTTTTTTGTGTGTCATAATGTAACATACATGTTATTAACCGTATATCACATAGCTACTCACTTTATAGTCAAATGTGAAAAGTATGGTAAATTGTTTATAGTATTAATTATAGTTTTCTAATATGGTGAGTTTGATTAACACTGTTTCTGAATAATCTGTCTCTCGGTCTGTCTTTCTTTCTCTCTCTTTATTCAATTCAGTAAGCTTTACTAGGAGGACCATATCAAGTTACAGTATTGCCAAAGCACAAACAAGACCGAACAATGAGAATGAGAAAAAACATTACAGCCTTTTTCAAAAACAATTCATGTCTCTCTCTCCTGAAACATGAAGCTCAGCTAAACAGTTCATTTCATGCCCAACATACTCTACAGCTATAAAAACACTCCAAAGACATCTCAAAGTAAATTCATTCAATCAAAACATCAACACTAGTGCTCTAACAACAATACTTTATCAATCACAGCACAATCACCTCAGAAACAGTAAGATCTGTTGGCATTAAGGCAGATCCACTGTTTTATTTAAATCTCTCTGAAGTATTAACGAGTCGTTTGCTGTGTAGTTTTCATCCACATCACACCTAATGTCCTCTATGTGCGGGTCCTGTAAAGGACTATCTATTGTGAGCACAATAAATCCAGAAGTGACCCCATTTTATAGATGGTCTTCATCTAGGTAGGACTTCAGCTCAAATGGGAATTTCAGCTCAGCTGTGATTGGCACTTCTACACACAATCAGCAGTTTGTCTTTATAATCAATACCATTTTTGGGCTTTCATTGTTGTCTGATTATAGCATTTGTGATTGAGTAAATTAAATGCAGTTTATTTCAGGTTGGATTCTGGAGATAAGTATGACAGTGTTTGCAAGCATTTGAAAAAAAAAGAGCTCTAGAAAGATACAGTTTTGTTAAGGGCTGAGACTGAATAAGAAGAGAATTAAAGAATTTGTGAATCTGTGGTCACTGAATGTATTTTGCATTCAAACAAGACTGTTTTCGGTTTGATCCAAACAGAGTGGAGCTGAAATAACACTGATAAGTTTTATTAAAGAGAACTCAGTACTAAAAATGCTGGTTGGCAGTTGTAAAAAAAATAAAATAAATAAATAAATAAACTACTACTACTACTACTAATGATAATGTGATGTTGATGATAATGTGATCACTCACTGTCTCTCGTATTGTGGCAGGCAGATATACACTCCCTAAACACTTTATAAGAAACATCATTTTTTCAGCTCCACTTACCACACAGGTGAACTTTGTAGTTCTACAATTACAGACTGTAGTCCATCTGTTTCTCTGCATACTTTGTTATCCCCCTTTCACCCTGTTGTTCAATGGTCAGGACCCCACAGGACAACCAAAGAGCTGGTACTATTTGGGTGGTGGATCATTCTCAGCACTGCAGTGACACTGATGTGGTGGTGGTGTGTTAGTGTATGTTGCTGCAGAGCTGCTGGAGTTTTTAAACACCACAGTGTCACTGCTGGACTGAAATTAGCCCACCAACCAAAAACATCCAGCCAACAGTGTCCTGTGACCACTGATGAAGGACTAGAGGATGACCAACACAGACTGTGCAGCAGCAGATGAGCTATCGTCTCTGACTTTACATCTACATCTAGGTGGACTGACAAGGTAGGAGTGTCTAATAGAGTGGACAGTGAGTGGACACAGTGTTTTAAAACTCCAGCAGCACTGCTGTGTCTGATCCACTCAGACCCGCACAACAAACTAACACACCACCACCATATCAGTGTTACTGGAATGCTGAGAATGATCCACCACCCAAATAGTACCTGCTCTGTGAGGGTCCTGTGGCACTGAAGAACAGGGTAACTATGGGATAACAAATTATTTAGAGAAACAGATGAACTACAGTCTGTAGTTGTACAACTACAAAGCGCACCTATGTGGTAAGTGGGACTGAAAAAAATGGTAGGTGTACCTGATAAAGTGCTTAGGGAGTGTGTATTGTCCTGTGTGTATTGTGCTGCTTTCTATCTTTTCTCCTAAACAGGATGGGCACTTTGTCTTTATTAGAGAAATGGTTTAATTAAGGGAGAATCTTCTCAAATGTTTATAAAATTAATTTTGCATAAATGCTTAAATTGTTCACATTTGTTCACTGAGTTTGTACTTTATCATTGTGATTCTGTATTTTAATATCAGTCACTATGCTCAGGTACTCCACTACAGTGTTCAGTTGTGTTAGGGTCAGAGAGCCCTGCATGTCGCTTTGTGCTTGTGTCTGTATTCCAATGGGTGATGTAGTTTTGTTAATTTCTCTGTCTCTCTCTCTCTCTCTCTCTCTCTCTCTCTCTCTCTCTGTAGGATTGTATTAGTGTGAATCTGTAGGAGGAGATAAAGAGATAAAAATGGCGGCTGCAAGAAACAGTAAGTTAAACTTCCAGAACCTACAAAAGGTTTTACTGTGAACATCATTAAATAATATTCAATCAGAGAGTTTATTTTTATTGTGGAGACACACGAGACACAACTATTAGTGTGTGTGTGTGTGTGTGTGTGTGTGTGTGTGTGTGTGTGTGTGTTTCTACACAGAGTTCATACTCTTTGGACCCTATAACAGAGAAGAACGCCATGAGCCTGGCTCTGCGGTCACTCTCTCCTGTCACCTGTCACCTGAAATCAGTGCTGTTGCCATGGAGATCAGGTGGTTTATGGAGACGGACTGTGTTTGTCTCTATAAGAACATGCAGGTGACAGAGGGGAGGGGCTACGAGGGCAGAGTGAGTCTGTTCACTCAGGAGCTGCAGAGAGGAAATGTCTCCTTACAGATCAGAGACTTCAGATGGTCAGATGAAGGAGATTATCTGTGTCAGGTCAGCAATGGAGACACAACAGAGGAGTGTGCAGTAAGAGTGTGTAAGTATTCCAGAAATTCACTCTACATAAACTCATCATCATCCTCAGCGTCTCAGAATAAAAGACGAAAAGACAGAAATGAGAAACACAGATGTTCAGAATGGTGTTGTGTTCAGATAAAGGAGGTAAAACATACAGAGGATAAATGATGTTAATGTGGAGTGAAGGACAGATGGAGCATTTCAGTAGAATAAACAGTGGTTGCATTCCTTTCTGGAGGCAGCTGCCTAATTAGTCACTGCCTTCAAAAGTAGTTCTCTTGTTGGGCAGCATTTTAACTGAAAATGAACCTTAATAGGCGTTGCATTGGGGCGCTTTTCAGAACCGTGGTATGTTATAGGCTGTTTTAAGAGGTTGCATCTGCGATTACATGCTCGGCTTGTTGCCCTAATATGACAGATAATTTTGACTGCTACTTTGTGAATCCCAATCTTCCAATCTAACACTCCATAAATTCACATCCTCACCTTCCATTCCCGTGACAAAGTGTTCGCAATCAGTTGTGTGATGCTAGTGCAGCTATGAGCCACTCTGGTACAGACCTCGGTTCTCTCTCCTAAATACCCCTCGGCCGTCTGCCTGCTCCTTCTGCAGTTACAGTCCAGTCCACATCCAATTGAAATCCATTTTCATCATACCTGCTGCTCTGGCTAGCGAGCTTTCGGTCTAGGATCTCAATTTCCCTGGCCACGCGCAGTCTCTTTTAAAATTCTGCCAGCTCCAACAGGGCTGCAGTGCTTTAAGCCTCGACAGCTCACATTCCTCTGCTCCTGCCCTTGCCCTTCACAAACGTCGTCCAAACTGCACCCTTCTCTGGACCGCAACGATGCGCCAGTGCGCCCTGACATACGAATCGCATCTCCCATGCTGATGTATTCGACTCTGTCTCGGCTTCGGGCGGAGGTAAACACACCTGCTCTTTGCTGCCATTGTTTTACCTTCAGTTTGCGTGGCTGCACAGACCACATGACAACCACACTGTTCATGTGTCAGTTTCTCTGCTTCCTACCTACTGCGCTAGTTTTATTCTGCTGTGTATGTTTGTTTTTTTTTTTCTTTCTCATCCCACTTCCACCCATTTTCAACCCTACCCTTCTCTTTATCATCTCTCCCCTTCCCTTTCTCATCCAACCTCCTCCCTTTATCATCCAACACCTTTCCCTTTATCATCCTTCCCCTCCCTTATCATCCCTCCACTTCCCTCATTATTCCAGCCTCTCTCTCTCTCTCTCTCTCTCATCCTCTCACCCCTTTCATCCTGCAACCCCCCTTCCACCCCTTAGATCCCTCTACCTCAAGCCTCCATCCAATCTCAGCTCCATCTCAACCAGGCTCCATCTCGAATCAGCTCCTGCAACCCAGCTCTGCAGCTCCTTTCTGGCTCTTCATGGCTCCCATTCTGGCTCCATCTCAAGTTCAACTCCTTCTGGTTCAGCTCTGATGTGTCTCGGCTCTGCAACTTATTTCTGTCTCAACTCTGCTTCATATTGGATCAGCCCTGTCTCAGATCAGCTCCAGTGCAACCAGCTCTGTGACTCATGTCTGACTAAACTCTGCTCCATATTGGATCAGCTCCACTGCAAACAGCTCTGCTACTCATTTCTGACTCACCTTTGCTCTGTCTTGGATCAGCTCCAATACAGCTCAGTCCTGCATCTCATTTCTGGCTTCACTCAACTCCACCTCAGATTGGCTCCATCTCAGATCAGCTCATACACTCCTTAGTTCTGCAACTTATCTCTGACTCACCTTTGCTCCATCTTGGATCAGCTCCAGTACAAACAGCTCTGCAACTAATTTCTGGCTCCACTCGGCTTCATCTTGGATCAGCTCCTGTGTGCCTCAGCTCTGCAGCTCCTTCCCAATGTCATAACTGAACAACCGTGCTGTTGTCATGAGGATGAGTTTCCATACCAAACTACGTCCTGCAGTGGCCAGAGAATCATCCAGTTGCCTCGGTCACCAAGCCCATCAACTATCATATGGACCAGCTACCTCCAACAGTCATTCCTGCTCGATGTTCGTTTCATTCAAGATATAATCTGCTTTATTCTCATTCAACCCACATCCAAGCAAAAGGAGGCGTTTGACCGTATGGAGAGAATGGGGTGTTATCAAGGGTGAGCAGTACTACAGAATGGAGTGCTGTAATGGTCATTGTTCCCAAGCCAAATGGGAAGATCCACAAATGTGTGAGGTGAGAAACGCCTGTCTTAGTCTCTCCATCCACCCTAAAGCACTGCTGTGACCAACTAGTGCCATTTTTCATCAACATCTTCAACTCTGCTTCAAATCACTGGAACTTTGCTTTGTTCCTACTTTCCAGTCCTCAAAAGAATGAGCCTTGCTAGACTAAATGACTAGAGGCCAGTAGGCCAAACCCCTGTAGTCATGAAAGTCTTTGAATGCCTGGTCCTAGCCCACCCTAAGGATGTTACAAATCTACAGAGCTAACACATCTGTTGACGACACAGTCAACTTGCCCCTGCAATTCATACTACAGCATCTCGACAGATCTTGGGCCATATTACAGAAACTTCCTATCTTTTTGTCTTAACTTAAGATTTGATAGGTGAAGATAACATTTTTCAGAAATTTGTATTACAGAAGCAAATCATATATTCATTTATGAATGTTATCTTTTCTTACAGCATCTTATCTCAAGTTGGGAAATTTTAATCTACTCAATCAAAGTCGACAATTAACCATCATGTCTGTTACCTAGCAACTGACCACACATGACACAGCTGAAACATATCAAAATAATCAAGTTAGTTAGCCAGACAGCTAGCTGCTGTTACTCATGTAAAAAAATTGAAGTTTACAATATTATGACAGTGTTTTGTTCTGTTTATCAGAGCATCTCCGCTTCCCGGTTTCATGTTTCAGTTTTAGCTGACCGTGCTAATGTTTTTCCTCCTAAGAAACATCATCATGTTCAGCTGTGTCTCATTATTCACTGACATTGTTGTATTATTTTATCTAACGAGTTTTCATCAACGTTAACACACAAAGGTAATAAGTGGTCGTGTGTGTGCAGTGTCTGGGATTTTTAAAATTCAGTCAAACCACCGTTTTCAATGTAAATAAATGTAACGTCATTATGTTTCTGTCATTCTGTTTTTTTATCTGAAGTTAGGATAATATTATGAACTTAAGAATGGTTGTTCTGTAATAGCTACTGTCCTAAATTCATTCCTAACTGAAGTTGTCATGGTGACTAAACAGATAAGATAAGATTTCAGTGTTAAGAAGTTTCTGTATATGGGCTCTAGAACCTACACTAGAGTTCTCTGTCTGAGCTGTCTGTGCAAGATCCCATCTGCTGGTGGATTGTGGATTTCCTGACAAACTGGAGACAGCAGGCATGGCTAGGAAAACACACATCAGACATGTACTGCTTAACAAGCAACATTAACACCCACAACAGCAATGGCTCTGTGGTTTCCACCGTGGAGTCACTCAAGTTCCTGGGCACCACCATATCCAGGGACCTGAAGTGGGAGAGGAATGCTGTCTCCATAGCCAAGAGATCACAGCAGAGAATGTTCATTCTGAGATTGCTGGAGAAAGTTAACCTGCACCAAAGTCAGCTGATCCATATCTACACAACGACCATTGAGTCTGATCCCACATCATCCACAACCATTTGGTTTGGTTCTTCCACCTCACAAGAACGTGTCAAACTCCAGCACATAATTAGGACAGAGATGAGGATCATTGAATGTCGTCTGCCAACATTTCAGGACATCTACAACAGCAGGGTGATGAAGTGCACGGGCAAAATTACAGCTGACCCCTCTCATCCTGGACATCACGTCTTCCAGCCACTTCCCTCTGCTAGAAGATTCAGGGCCATCTAAACCAGCACAACCAGACATAATAACAGCTTTTTCCCCAGAGCTGTAGGACTCATTATCTACAGTAGACACCTAGCACTTTAAACTTAAACTAAACCAAACAAACCTCCCTGTCTGTATTACAGTAACTCCTCTGTAACATGATGTTTATTTGGACAACTGTCCAATGTTTTTACAATTTATTTTTACAAATAAATTGTAAAAACATTCATATTCTGTAATATTTTGTGAATAATAGTTTTTATAATATATTTTATAGTCTACTCAGGTCTACTCAGACCTGCATATGTACAGACATTCATGTCTCATGATCATGCACAGATATCCACACATCTCTTTAGCTCCTTTCAAATGGCTCTTTTTATTCTTTATTCTTTCTCCTATTTATTGTATTTAATTTTTTTCCTTACTTGTTAATAGTTTGTGTGCTGTTTAGTATGTTACATGTCATACATGTGTGCACTCACCAAGACAAATGCTTGGTGAAATAAAGTGATTCTGATTCTGATATGTGTGGATCTGAAAAACCTGAACAAGATACTTCAAATGGTGGATGTCCCAGCTGTTAGAGAGTTTCAATGAATGATCTGCCGTGATGAAATTCTTGTCTTTGGGCAGGACAAAATGGAGCATGACCAGCATCCACGTTGTGCGTTGAAGAAGATTCAGTCTGTGTGAATTTGGCAAGAGTGCCTTTTGTTGGACACAGAGCCACAGTGAATGGTCTTGAGCAGACAAAACAAAGTGAGAAAGTGAAAAACCTTATAAGTGCTTGTGATGCGGTGAGTTTCACACACCATCACAAGCCCTGATGCAGGCTAGAGACTGGAAGTGTAACCATTAGAGGTATGGACATTTAAGTAATGTAAAAGGTTACTTACCTGAATTCTTTTGATGTGCGTCCTTTAGGGGATGTCGGCGAGAGCTGTGGCTCCTCTTATCCTAGTCAGGCGGATCCACCGACGTAGGGAGGGGGGGTCCACTCTCATGCAGGTCCTGTAAAGGAAAGGAAAGATGTTAGAGGAATTGTGATTTTTCTATTTAATATTTGTATATATTTACCGCTAATATCATGGGTTGCCACCAGGTGTATGTTGCTGTACAGTACGTGTTGTGTGTGTGTGTGTGTATTAGTTATGTACCCCGCGATTGGGTTTGGTGTAGGCCGGGGCGGAGCTTAGAATACAAGAGCTCCGGGCCAGCCGTTCAGAGGGGTCTCACCTGTACTCACTACTAGCCGCCCGTGTAGTTAAGAGTCAGTGTGTTTGTAGATGTGTATGGAGTTCCAGCCCCGCAGCTGGTACTCAACCCCATTTGTAAATAGTGTATATATTGTGTTTTATTTCCGTTTGTACAGTGTTTTGTTTATTTGTTTATGTCCTGTCGCTCAATAAACTCACTTCTTGCAACTTGGAGTAATCGCGTTAGTAAGCGCCGGCCCACCCACACAGACCTTAACCACGAAGCCCACGTAAAGCCGAAATCCTCCATCTGGGGGCTATCACCATCTAACAGTGCTGACTTACTGTTTCCTGTGCCACACAGTGGAATCTGACACATACAGACAATTGTGTCATCTCTGTCAGTGACAGAGGCCCACTTCAAACAGATACAAGAGGCCCAAGCGGCAGATGAAACCTACTAAGCAATGAAACACCATTGTTTATCTAGCTGGCCAGAGAAACATTCTATTCACAAAGAACTCATGCCCTTTTTGTAAGTTAGAGCTGAACTTACGTTGGTTGACAGTCTTCTTCTAAAAGGAGACTTTTCGATTCTAGCTCCTGTGCAGAAAGAAATCCATCTCAGACACGTGAGGGCCACCAGGCATTTCTAAATGCTCATCATTCTGTAGGTGGCTGGGCCTTTCATCTCAAATTCATCAGATGGCTGAAAGCTGTTATGCTTGCAAACAATATTGAGTGCCCCACTGTGAGCTGCTACTGCCTACCTCAGTTTCAGTGTGTCCATGGCATTAAGTAGGTCTGGATTTGTTAGAATGCAAAAAGAAAACCTACTTGCACATTATTGATTATTTCTCCACATAGCTTCAGGTGGCACATCTCACATCTTCAGAGGTAACACTATGGGCGATCAAGGACACCTTTGCATGTCATGGCATCCCTGAGGAGGTTGTCTCCGATAATGGACTTCAGTTTGTGTCAGAGACCTTTCAACAGTTTGCAAAACGTTATACACACCAAAAGCAGCCTGCATCCTCAAGCAAAAGAGGAAGCAGAGTGTGTCGTCTGGATCATAAAAGGACTATGGGCTAAGAACACTTTACAAAGACTAGAACAAAGCTTTTCCGGTTTATAGAGCCACACCTTTGGAGCAGGGCTTCTCTCTCTCCCAGCTGCTCAAGGGGGAAATTCTTTTACACTACATACAACTACACTACACCCCAAATCTCTGGAGAGCTGACCCTTGAGTGGCCTAGCCTGTTGGAGTTCCAGAAAAGCGATTAAGAGGGGTGAGAGTGCCAGGCAATTAACTACAAAGGCTACAATAGTTCTCATCCTTGGAAGCACATGTATGGCTCTGTCATAGGACCAGCTCATACACCAAGATCTTAATTGGTAGAGACAGGGAGAGGGACACTTAGGAGAAACAGCATCTCTGTCCTACTGGATTTATCATTTCCTCTGAAAGACTTTCTAGTAGACTGTACTTCTAAACAGAATGATATCTGTACATTATTCCTGTTTCATTCAGTGAGGAAAACAATAAAAATGTACGTGTTCCCCCAGGAAAGATATTTTGAGTTAGAAAAGTCATAACAGTTAAGAACATATACACAGAATAAAAGTTCAAATGAGGTATTGCTTAGCTAAAAGGGAGAGGTGTCTTGGTAGTTACCACAGTACCCAGAGGGACCAGTGAATGTTTTGTACATGCTTATATGCTTGTGTATATTCTTTTGTCCTGTATGATGTCCACTCCTACCAGGACCCATGTCTGACCATTTGTTGTAACTACAATATTTCAAGCTGAAATTCATGTCTTCATGTGTAAAATACAAACAAATCAAAATTTGTTAAAGTAAATAATGAATTGTAAATTAAATATAATTTAAAGTATAAATTATCATATAAATTAATAGGAAATCTTGTCCATAAAATAAACAGTAATAAAATACAGAAGTCTGGGAAATATTTCAATTTTAAAGAAAGTGCATTTTATTAAACACTTATTATCATTTTAACCATTACTTATAATAAATTAATTTTATCATTTCATATTTTAAAGTTTATTTAATATCAGCACAATTATTTTTGTAATAATTTAAAAACCATTTTAATCATCACATCATGGATTTTCATGAAAAGCATTCAAGCAAAAAGTTTAATTTATTATTGAAATCAATCAAAGTTTTAGTTTAAACTCTAAATCAGTTTAGTTCAGTTCTAAATCACCTTAAATGTTGAGTTCTTCTTACAGAATCACTGAAATGTCAAACAGTGTAAAAGTTGATTTGAAGTGTGTTGAGGTTTGAATTATAAATATTGCTTTTGTTCATCTGTGAATATTATTTAATATTTAATTGTTTCATTCAAATATTTATCAGAGTTGAATTAAAGCAGGAAAAGTATGAAGTATTTTTGTTTTTAGGCTGAACTGACAAACTATTTTTACAGTGCATAAATGCAACACTGAGAATAATATTTCACTTTAAATCAACTAGTTTCATATTACTACATTATTTTAAAATGATTTTTTAGCTTTCCTTCATTTCTATCAGAGATATGAATTATTAATTTCTATACAATTTCTCTCTTTTTTTAAGCTGTAGGCCTAACATGGATCAAAATGGTCTTCATAACTTAAAATCCATTTCTAGTATTTTTTTTTTGAGAACTTATTTTCTCTTTTTTCCTCAAGAAGGACAGTTATGTCTGATTAATGCAATTAATTTAATGATTAATTATTAATTAAAACATGACATGTGCTGTGACTCCTTCATTGTTTATTAATATTTGAACATGAGCTTTTTAATTATACACACAATATAAAACAGTAAAACAGTAAATAGAAAACACTAAATGTACAGATTCATCTTTATGACGCGCCAGAAAGTCTGTGTTCTTTTTGAGGGCTGACATACTTGATGTCTTGTTGTTGGGGGTCTATTATGTTCAGAATTTCTTACTGTGATATAAACAGTGTCTCCAGTGCAGTCAGTGCAGGATGTTAATGATAGAGGAAGGTGAGCCAAATCAGAGAGAAACTCATTCAAATCTTACTTTAATCTATTTAAATTAAATAGATTAAACAGAATCATTTCTATAAGGGTTGAGTTTCTGCTGTAGGTTCACACTTTAACTGTTTAGCTGAACGTCTTCATGGAGTTGTACTGAAAGCACTGAGTGACAGTTCAGTAGTGAAGGATGAAGAACTACAGTACAGATGAGAAAAGGAGATTCTGATAAGGAGATAAAGAGTTAAAAAGACTGAAATATTATAACTGTAAAAGTGTTTCTCATGGAGATTTGACTAACTTTGTGTTTTCTTCTGTTTTATTTCACAGCATCATGGGTAAGTAAATAACTCTGTTTACTTATTTCTCTGCTGATTTTTATACTCTTATCACATGAACTACATTCTTATCACATGAACAAAGTCTCTGATCTCAGAATGAAAGCTTTTGTCTTCATCTCTCTCCTTCCTTCCCACAATGCTCCTGTGCATAATCCCACTGCACTGCAGAAATGTAGAGACAGTGAAGTTCACTGATGAGAAAAAGACACAACAAATAAAAGCAGTCTGGCTCTGTTGGGAGTGATGTCACTGTTCTTATGTGATGATGGAATATTTGAGTCGTTCATCATCAGTACATCATTATCATTAGAGTGTCTCTCATTACTGTAGTTTTCCTCTCCTCCATTACTGATCTGTCAGTAATGAGCCCATCTGAGTACTATCCAAACTCCTGACCCTCACTGCCTCTGTGCACAATTTAGTAGATACAGTAGTGAAACTTAAAGTGACTGGAGGGGCTTTTTAAGAGGACAGATCACTCTCACTCTCTCTGACTCATACAGTAACACAACTTTTTTCTGAAATATGCAACATAAAGATAACATGAACACCAATGCATTCATATTACTAAACCACAGTTGTGATTGACTCTGTATTAGTGACTGTTTTACCTATGACCTTAAGAAGTGAACAGTAGTTAATATCAGTACAATCTGACCAGCATGATAAGCAAATGTATTTATTTGCTAAATATTTTTAATAATTTATTTGTCAGTTTATTTGAAACATGAAATGCATGACCTGAAGAATGAAATGTTCAAGCTGTTTTATTCACTTCTACAGTCTGTAAAGAGTTTAAATGACAAAATTACTTACTAATTAGTTTCTCCTCTCCAGGATAAACCATATTTCTGTGTCTGGCAGGTGAGAACACTTATTAATAAACTTCATTAACTTCTGTCAAATGTGCAGCAAGAATTATTCCTGTTATAAAATCCTGCTGTAACTCTCTGCTTTAATCACTTCGTCCACCTGTGTTTAAATAGTTCAGTCAGCTACAATCAGCAGAGTCTCTACTGTTAGTAATATCGTCTCTCAGTGATTCATACTGACACCAACCATCATCACATCTTCACTCTGTTTTATTCTCTTCTACAGAGTAACAGAGAATGGACAGAAGAGGAGAGAAAGAAAATGAAGGAATCTGTTCTGCTGACCGGTGAGTTCTAAAAGAGATAAACAGGAAAACACAATGACAGCTAAGTGTGCTCAATTTTCATTTTATAATGTGGACAGATAAAAAAAAAACATCTCAGGTTTTTAATCATAATGAAAAAGATCACTTATTAATAATTATAGAATGCAGAGTTATTAGACTATTTCCTCTCTTATTCACTGTGATTAACTGGTTTTCATATAAATCATTCAGATCTCTCTGCTACAGTTTTAGAGATTCTTGTCATCGTGCTGTTCTGGTAAAGACAGACTGTAAAGGATGTGATGGTTTTGGACTTTGTGGATCTTCTTTCAGTCATTTTGGGTCATTGTGCTTGTCATGTCTGATTAAAAGCATCTGATTGGCTCACTTTCCACTAAATTTCCAGATGTGTCTCATCACAACGCTTATTATTCACAAACTACATAGAATTCAATGCAAACTGAGTTATTCTTAAGTGTAAGACTGAAGGGAAAGTCTGGAGGGGTTTCAGTGGGTTAAGAACTTCCTATACTGTAAATATGTTTAATGAGGTAGACAGATATTGTAGAGACAGTTTTGCACGCAAAAAAAGTAAAATTGTGAAAACACAGAAACAGCTTCCCAAAAATGAATCAGCTTCAAAGAAAAGACTTTCTTGAATGAACCAAAACTCAGCTTAGCTAAAGCTCTGTTCCACCAAGTTATCTACAATTAACAGATTGCTCACATATTTGATTATGATGAAGACCGCAAATGATGAAATGATGAATATATATATGAATCAATGTGGTGCTCAGGTGGGTTTTGAATGTTTCCCACAGAGTTCTCAGAAGAAGCCAAACTTCATAAAGATAAAGAGAGCATTTCAATGGAGAGAAACGTACAGCTGATGGAGAAAGAAAAACAAATTCAAGAGGAAGAAAAACTTCTGACAATAAACACAGAGACACTTCAGATGAAGGAAAAGATGCTGGAAGAGAAGGACAGACTTCTCAGAGAGACAAAAGAAAAACTGGAACAAATGACCAAAGAGACTCAGATACAGCTTAAAGATAAAGACTCACAACTGGAGAATCAGATCAAACTGCTGAGAGAGAAAGAGACTCTACTGGAGGTCACAGTGAAAGAGGTGGAAAGCAGTAAAAAGCAGCTGGAGACTCTGAGAAAGGAACTGCAGGACAAGAGCAGCAAACTACAGGAGATGATGATCCTACTGGAACAACAGAAAACTGAACTCACCCGTCAGCAGAAAGAGTTAGAAGAGAAAGAACAACAACTGAAACACACAGGTAAGAATTTAAGACACAGACTGATTGTAAAATATCTGACTGATAAATTAATATTCTGTCTTTATCATTTCAGCACAACAGAATTCAGACCTACAGACTGAAACTGAAACACTGACAACTCTCATTTCATCACAGACGACTGGTGAGTTTCAGGTTTAACCACAGTAACCTCAGTCTTTATGATCTTTAGAAAATATTATGATCAAATAATCACATTAATACATTCATCACCATTAATTCATCTCTCCCATTAATTAGCAAGTGAGGTTTTCTGACTCTACTTCTCCTCACTGATCTTTATCAGACTTTCCTAATGGGAAGATACAGTCTAGACATTGTTGATGTTTTAGTACTGACTAATAAACAGAAGTCTTTGATATCACTGTGCTGAAAATATGTGATCCCATGGGGGTGACGGTGGGTGGGGCAGGGGAGCATTTCACAAAGCAGGATTTTTCAATTAGCCTGAAAACCAAAAACACGCCAGTCCAATCGGAGAAGAGCTGAGCAACAATCCTATTGGACAAGCCACAACCTTTGGCTTAAGTTTTCTAGCTTACTGAGAAAACCTTCTTTGTGAAATACCATCCAAGCCAACTGTGAACTCAAAATGATGATTTCTTACAGATTTAACTGTGAAGGCTAAACAACTTGAAGAGAAAACAACCATTATAACAGAGAGAGACACACAGCTAATGGAGAGAGAAAAACAAGTGGAGGAGAAAGACAGACTTCTGACAGAAAAGACAATAACACTTCAGATGAAGGAGAAGATTTTAGAAGAGAAAGACAAACTTCTCACAGAGACACAAGATGAACTGAGACAAACAACAAAGACATTAGAGAATCATAGAATACAAATGGAAGAAATGGAGAAAAGACTTGAGGAGAAAGAAGAAGATTTAAAAGAGAGAAAACAAGAACTGAAAGATAACACGATTATAAAAGAACATTTAGAGATTATTGATAAGAGAGATTCATTATTAAAGGAAACTAATGAAAGATTAGAAAGTGTTAATAAACAGCTTAAAGATAAAGACTCACAACTGGAGAATCAGATCAAACTGCTGAGAGAGAAAGAGACTCTACTGGAGATCACAGTGAAAGAGGTGGAAAGCAGTAAAAAGCAGCTGGAGACTCTGAGAAAGGAACTGCAGGACAAGAGCAGCAAACTACAGGAGATGATGATCCTACTGGAACAACAGAAAACTGAAGTGAGTGAAAAAGACAAACAGCTTGAAGAGAAGGAGAGACTTTTAAGTGAGAGAAACACACAGCTAATGGAAAGAGACAAGCAGGTTGAGGAGAAAGACAGACTTCTAGAGGAGAGAAACAAGCAGCTGCAGGAGAGAACAGATCCAGACTCAGCAGCTCCAGCCAGGAGGAGACATAGCAAAGACAAACCTCCAATCAGTAAGTAAATACTAAGGTTGCATGAAGATGCTTGAAATATTTTAAAATCTAAATGTGCACTGTGCTGTGAAAATGCTATGATATAATCACATACTATAGATGTCTAACAACATAGAATGCAGCTATATATTCCACAAAAACATAAGCTGTAATATAAATAAAAAAAAAACAAACCTGTCCATCATGTTCCAATATGTAGTTGTGTAAGAGTTTGAGAACAGCAAAACATTAAACAGCAAAATGTTAAACTATAATACATAAGTAAATAAATAAATATATAGATACATTTTTGTCCGTTAACTTCTGATTTCATCTGACAGCCATTAGAAATAAGTGAGTGTTTCTCTATATAAAGATCGAGAAGAACTGAATTACATTCTGGAGAAGAACGTTCTTCACAAGTTACCTTGCAAAAATGGGGAAACTCACAAGAACCTGAGAACAGAGAACATAAGTATTACAGTTTGAGATGCTGTGTACTCAGTGTTTCCACCGCACAGTTCTCTGAGCTCAGCTGTTTCACCAGCACTAATAATAATTAGTCAACAAGCTCAGAATGTAATACAAGAAATCTAAAAACACTACAATACAAATGATTCAAATGATAGCAGCCATGACGATGGCGTCACTGTCGTTTAAATGTCCACGAGCCAACAGCAGAAAAACTGTGAATTTATAAGTAAATTTATAGAACTGCAAGGTATGAAACAAATCTGAGTAAAAGTTACTGCAGTAACTCTTCTCCTAAAGGAAAAGTAGCTGAGCTGCTGTGCTGATCCAGAGGAGAGCCACGCTGAGGAGAAAGAGAGGCTACTCACTATAATAACACTTATATTCAGTTATGACTTACTGTGGTTCCCTTTGCTGTGCCAGATACAAGCTAATGTGTTCTAAAAATAGCCATTTAATCATTCCAAATAAATAATTTAGCTAATACAACCAATACAATGAGAATGTGTGACTTAATTTAAAAAATATAGAATAAAAAACTGGAATTTTTAATTACAATTAAAATTAAACTTCTTTTCAGTGATTAGTAGTTGATGCCACTAAATTAGAAGTTCAAAAAAAAATTGACAAGATGGAGGCACCCGAGGTGAAAAAATAGTCAACAACATAATCTCCTCTTTGCTGGTTGTTCTGTTTCATAGTGAGTGGAGAGACTCCAGAATCTGCAGCACCACTCAGGAGAAGAAACAGTCTGCAGGGAAGTCCTCCACATAGTAAATGATTTCACTTTCATATAATATCTTAAATATTTGTTTAAATATAATAATCACCATCACACAGTGAGAAATGAAATGCCTCATTCTTGTTGATTTGCAGTGAGTGGAGAATCCTCTAGTTCAGCCTCTCCAGAGTCAGTTCCTGTAGCAGAGCTCAGGCTGGTGCTGCTGGGGAGGACTGGATGTGGGAAGAGAGCAGCAGGAAACACCATCCTGGGCAGAGAGGAGAGGAGCCAGGCTGGAGCGTCTGTAGTGAGGCAGCAGAGTGAGAGCAGACAGGGGGAGGTGGCTGGGAGGCAGGTGACTGTGGTGGACACTCCTGACTGGTTCTGTCCTGGACTCTCTCTGGAGGAGCTGAGACAGGACGTGGGACTCTGTGTCCATCTGTCTACCCCAGGACCCCACGCCTTCCTCCTAGTCATACCAGTGAAGCAGTCTACAGGAGAGGAGAGAAGCATGCTGGAGAAAATGGAGGAGATCTTTGGAGAGAGATGTTGGAGGAACACCATGATCCTTTTCACTGTTACTGATGAAGTCCAAGAGAAGAACATTGAAGAGTTTATCCAGTCAGGAAACCAGGAGGTCCAGAGACTTGTAGAGAAATGTGGGAACAGGTTTCACTGTCTCAGCATTAAGGAGAGTGGAGATGGTTCTCAAACCTCAGAGCTGCTGGAGAAGATAGAGAAGATGGTGGAAGGAAACAGAGAGAAATTCTACAGCAGTGAGATCTACCTGGAGACACAATCTCAGATCAGAGAGATAGAGAAAAGAATTGTGAGAGAAAGAGAGGAGATGAGAGAGAGACAAGAAAGAGAAACTAGAGACAGACTGGAGAGATGTGTACAGAAGACTTTAATTAAATTTACAGAATCAACTGCTGACATTCATAGAAAGATAACTCAGCATGAAGAGCGAATAACTAAACTAGAGGGAATGTTAAAAGAGGAAAGAGACGAGAAGAAAAAGGTAGAGCTGGAGAGAGAGGTGGAGAGAGAGATTCAGCAGAGAAATGAGGTTCAGTCGGAGCTGGAGAGACTGAAAGAAGAGATTGAAAAGGAGAGGAGAGAGATAGAGGAGAGACACAGACAGGAGATGGAGGAGATCAGGGAGACGTATGAAGGAGAAGTTAAGATGGAGGCAGAGAGAAACCTCATGAAGATCATCCTGCCTGAACTCCAGCAGAGAATCTGGGAACTCATAATAAAGAAACAGAAAGAGTTTGATTGTAGGATGGATGAAAAGGAGAGAGAGATAGAAACACTGAGACGGAGACTCAGAGAGGGAGTCAGAGAGGGAATCACAGCAGGAGGAGATGATCATCAGGAGGACGCTAGAGGACTGTTTAGCAGGTTAACACAGCGGCTGCTTTGGGGAACACTCAGTGATCCAGTTATAATCACTCGGTCAGATCAGTGAGAGCTCCTGACTGACTTTCAGATGCACTGATTTATCTGATAGAGTGTTGAGCTCAGGATGAGGGAATATTTCCCTGCAGTGTTACTGTGTTTCATTTTACTGTGATTATACAGTATATTACTATATTACTGCAGTGTTACTGTATGTGGTTTTATTGTAATTATACAGTATGAAACGTTCAGCCACAGCAGAATCAGTAAATTGAATGACAACAGCTGCTCTAGACATCAGATTGTAGAGGAAAGATCTACTGTGATCTGTTTAGTGTGTCTTCTGCTCCATCTTTACCTCTTTTACATTTTTGATTTTTCTGTAATTCAGAAAAGTTTGTACAATAAAGGTTTTATATGAGCTGAATTGCTGCAGCCATATTTGTCTTTGTCTTCACTATAAAACACATTCTTAGATTTAATCATTTCTTCATTTCTATCTACATAGTCTAATTTTTAAATTTCGTGTTTCGTTCCATAATTTTGGTCTACATAATCACGGCTACTATTAAATTCAGTGGTGAGTCTTTACTGTTAAGTGGTTTTGATGTTGGTTTTGGAAAAGTGTCATTCTTTGTCTCATAGTGACCGACAGCAGCAGCAGCCACGCAAGCACTGGGATAGTGACAGTGGTGAAAATGGATGAATATCAGAGTGGAGCTGTAGCAGTGTTGATTGTTTATTTACACTGGATAAAAGCAGAAAGATACTTTGTACTATTAAACTTTTTTTATATAATACTGAATTCCAGAAATTAAATGTTTGGTGTTCCTTACTCTTAAAAATCACCATCTGGTTTATTCCACCCCACAGTTCATGGCAAAAGTTCAGAAAATTGAACTTTTGATGGAACATTGCGCTGATTGCTGCTGCTGGTGGTGGCAGAATTTTCTGTTGCTGCTCCATCGAAATGTATGAATATCAATGGCCAGCATGTAAACACATTAAAGACAAACTAGCTTGTCAAAGTTTTTAAACAGTTTAAAGTCATCAGGGCTCATTGGAGCAATACTGACTCTTCTTTCTGTAAAAGGCTGTTTACAAACAAGACTTCAACATTTAAAGAAATCAAAGCTGTCACAGACTAAATTACTTTATCTGTGTCTTTAATTATTTGTTCTTAAGACTATTAAAAGCTTAATGTTTTGCTATTTTTGTACAGGTGTGTTCAAAAATGTTCATTTCTGCTGGCAAGCCTTTGCCAGTATATTAGCACTAAGAAAAGTTAGTGCACATTTTTGGCCCTTCAAGAATAAACACAGACATTTATAGCTTGTAAAAGACATTTAGTATGTTTTATTTGAAGGTTATAAAAGACATTAACACATATTTTCTCTTGTAATTAGCAGGTTTACAGTGACTCTTTCAGTAAAGAGTCGTGACACAGAGCTGCTGCCACTGTTTTCCATTTCTAACAACTGCCTGAAACCTGGTTAGATGCAGCTCATATTCACACGTAGTGATGTATCTAGAACTTCCAGAAGGGCTGGAGTATCATTTTTCTCTCTAAACAGATTATACTCATCATAAATCAAAATGTGATTTGTTGATTCCACTGTCATAATTAATGTAATTATGTTTGTGGTTAATCTGACGGGTCAGGCCTTTAGTCCAGCTCATGATTGTCTTTAAGCAATGGGAGAGTTCACCTGGTTCTATGTGCCCTTTAGTTTCCAAGCTGAACTTAACAACGAAATAAGACTATTATTACAAACTCACCAAGCTTACAACAAGTACAATGACTCAATGAAGTAAAAATGAGCTAAAACTTACAGACATACAATTTTAAGTTGTCAAAAATGATTAATCCTTCTCTGAAGGCCTGAATGTTCCACACTGATCAAACCTAATCACTGCCAAAAATCCAAAAAATATAGTGGATCAGTGATGTGACTGTTGTCATTACTGTCAGTCATCAGAGTGAAGAGTAGAGTCTGATTATCTTCAGTTCTTCTTTCCACCCTGATCAGATCAGTGTGTGGAGGGAAGAACAGAGAGAGCAGAGATCAGACTGCTTCACTTACTGCCTTTAATCACTGATTCAGGATCAGCTCTTAGGACTGCAGTGAATGTGGAGCAGCACATTAGAAATGGAGGTTCTGTGAGCAGCTCCAGTCGCTGCTGCATTACATGAAGCATGTAGAGCTTCATGCAGCCTCTAGCTGGAAACAGCGGCTGATGCCTGAGCTTGTTCAGTTTGATCAAAGTGCAGTCTGGAAAGCAGCTGAGTGAGATAATCAGATATCAGCTGTTCAGAGAGAATCACACAGAGAAGAGGAGAGACAGCCTGGAGTGACAGAGAGGAGAGCAGGAGAGCTGAATGATTATTAAAGATGATTTATAATCTACACTGTAGATATGATGTTTAACTTGTTTTTTTTTTTTTGTGAATGTTAACAAATTTTATATACAAATAACTTTCACTAATATGCATGTTTACTAGTAAAATTGTTTAATACTTTGATGATTTAAGCATATATATATATATATATATATATATAATATATATATATATATATATATATATATATATATATATATATATATATTGTACAGTATCACTACAGTATGAAGCTGAAAATGAACTGAACTAAATCACTAAAACTTCATTGTCTCACACAACAGGACTCTATATTCACTAATATGATAAAGACACTATTTCCACTCAGTCTAAAGCTACATAAACATCACCTTTGGGCTCATAAATGATTTCTGTGGATTCATATTTGTGGAAGAAAATAATAATGAAACACTACAAATAAAATAAAACAAACAAACTAATAAAACTAAACCAAAGTGTTGGTTCTCCTCAGTTGTGGACATGAGTGACACACTGGTGCATAAGCTGAGCATCAGCGTTGTACTGGACTTGTGTGCATTGTGGGTCATGCCGGTACAGACATGCTCTTAACTGAAAATTACATAATGCCCCACTTTATAGTCAAATATGGAACATATAGTGCTATAATTGTTTATAGCATTCATTTAATTGTAATGTTCTAGTACAGTGAGGTTAGTAAAAGTGGGACAGTAAGTGTCTGATGATATGTAGGTGCTGTCGAAATTATATTGTCAAATAATTGTCAAAGTTGGTTCTTTGAGTATAAAAAGATGGTCAGAGAACAGATTGAATGTTCCAAATGTCTCCAGATGTAGTTCAATACAAAACCTCAATCGTAAAGAGCTTTTTCTTCAGTCTTTAACAAACCTTGCTATTCCATTCAGTCAAACAGTAAAATTGGCATAGATGGACTAGGTTGACTGTCTTTCGTTTCCCTTTAGCAGGCCTATGTGTCTCCACCAGTACTGGGGAAGTGGTTGCAATTGTGTGTTTGAAACGGACTAAAATCACAGTGCATTCCTGGTGGGAATGTAACAAGGTGGAATGTTTAAAATGACTGTCAAATTTGTGTCTGACTGCCACGGAAAAAGTAACACTTCTCTGTGTAAGCAGAGTTCATTAGCACAGCACCCTGCTTATAATACATGGTATGAGATACCAGTATCAGTACTTTTTTGAGATGCGTTGCTGCCATCAAGTTCTAAATGAGTTAATATTTTTCATGAAATGGTAAAATGTCTCACTTTCAACATCTGATATGTGTTCTATGTTCTATTATGAATAAAATATGAGTATGAGATTTGCAAATCATTTCATTCTGTTTTTATTTACATTTATTTACATTTTACACAGTGTCCCAACTATATATATATACACATATATATGTATATATATATATATATATATATATATATATATATATATATATATATATATTATGGCAAGCCAAACAGGAAATATTTAATGAACATTGATATATATGGAATGAACATTGATATATATATATAATGAACATTGATATATATATACAATGAACTTTGATATATATACAATGAACACTGATATATATGGAATGAACATTGATATATATGGAATGAACTTTGATATATATACAACGAACATTGATATATATATACAATGAACTTTGATATATATATACAATGAACTTTGATATATATACAATGAACTTTGATATATATGGAATGAACTTTGATAGATATGGAATGAACATTGATATATATGGAATGAACATTGATATATATACAATGAACATTGATATATATACAATGAACATTGATATATATATATATATATATATATATATATATATATATATATATATATATAATTAACATTGATATATATGGAATAAACTTTGACATATATACAATGAACACTGGTATATATGGAATGAACATTGATATATATACAATGAACATTGATATATATGGAATGAACATTGATATATATTGATTGAACATTGATATATATACAATGAACATTGATATATATGGAATGAACTTTGATATATATACAATGAACTTTGATATATATGGAATGAACTTTGATATATATTGAATGAACATTGGTATATATGGAATGAACTTTGATATATATGGAATGAACGTTGATATATATTGAATGAACATTGATATATATGGAAAGAACACTGATATATATGGAATGAACATTGATATATATTGAATGAACATTGATATATATGGAATGAACATTGATATATATTGAATGAACATTGATATATATGGAATGAACATTGATATATATTGAATGAAAATTTATATATATTGAATGAACATTGATATATATGGAATGAACATTGATATATATGGAATGAACTTTGATATATATTGAATGAACATTGATATATATGGAATGAACATTGATATATATTGAATGAACATTGATATATATTGAATGAACATTGATATATATTGAATGAAAATTTATATATATTGAATGAACATTGATATATATGGAATGAACATTTATATATATTGAATGAAAATTTATATATATTGAATGAACATTGATATATATGGAATGAACATTGATATATATTGAATGAACATTGATATATATGGAATGAACGTTGATATATATATTGAATGAACATTGATATATATGGAATGAACATTGATATATACGGAATGAACATTGATA